CCACAAAACAGGATACACAAAATGTTTTCACACTCGAATTGAATTTGGTTATCGTCGTTTTCGTCGTCGTTGGAAATATATGGAACATGCAAATGTAACGGTATACGGATTGGAAAAATGTGTACGGTGTATGATATTTTTAGAGTAAAAATCGATTATATCTGTGTTCTGGGGCCATGTTTCGTTTTTTTCTTCTCTTCTTCCTAGATTTAAGCCATTACAGCAATAAATCGCATTTTGCAGTCGAACAGAGAGCAAAGTGGAAAGAGATATGGAAATGGATGACGGTCTGTGGCGATGAGAAGAGCCCTAATTGATATTTATCAAATCATTTAAATAACCTAAAAGCATCTGCGAGACTCCATTTTGATTGCATACATTGTACATTGGATAAACATATAAATTCTTTCTATTTTTTTATTCTTCTCAAGTGGCATGATTAAAACCGATTAGACGAAATTCCGTTGATTTCTGTTTCTATTTAAAGCCAACTGTTTAAATAGCCCCGAAAAGAACCATACCAAAATATGAGAGTGTTTTGTGTGACCGTGTGTCTGGAGCAAAAAGATGAATAGTAGAAATCTTTTTGTGTATACACATATGTTTAGTAACGGCGATGGCGACAATATATCGCTGTCAAACGAAATAAACATTCCAGATAGAATGAGAAAAATCGAGAGAGAGAGAGAAAAAAAAAAGAGTTAGGGCCTCGGCGTTTTATAGTTGTTGGCGCGCGCGCGATAATACATTTAATCACAATGTACTTTGTATTCTTTTCTCTCTCGCTTGTACGGTGCTTTTGAATTATTTGGCCCCTTTTCAATTATTTGTACACACATACACACACACTGTCGGCATTTTAATTGCTTTGCCCGCTTGTTGTGAATCACTTAAATTTTGTTCGTGTATTTTTGGATAAGATTTTTTCTTGGCGTTATTATTTTATTTGGTTCCGATGAACTTCACATTGGAAAGTTCAATGTTGATGACGACGGCTGCACTCGAGAAATTTGATTATCTCGGTGTGTTTTCAATTCTATATTTAGATTTTGAAGGCGAATACTGGAGAAAGAATAAATACACAAAAACAAATTTTTCCACAATTTTGGAAAATTGAACACACAGCGACACACTCAGTCACACATACACCTTCAATTCCGAATGATTATTGAATATTTCCGCTCCGAACACTTTGAAAACCGAAAACACACACTCAGTGGTCGAAATAATGGTAATATATTTTAAAACAGCTTGGAGGCTATATAAGTATATATATAACAAGTTTCATTGAATTGTACAAATGTAAACATTAAATCACCGCTGCGCAGCAAGGTAATTGCAATGCAAGAAACATACAGGAAACACAATCTCAGCACAGACTGCAAAATAGGAATATAATTATACATATGTTTTGTGTTTGTATGTGTGTGTGTGTGTGGCAATACCAAGTCGATTGGACAAAAAGGATGTCATTGAAACGCAGTGTTCTACATTTGAGCATATCGTGCTCTTTTTGTGTATCAATTCTGATGGTATATTTGGGAATATCAGAGAAAGAGAGAGAGAGCGCGAAATACAATACACGACTCGGAATATTGCAAAATAGACGATTCGACAAACGTTTTTAAGATAAAGCGTATGATCAAATGTTCAAAGAGAAGAGAAAATAGAGAAATAAAGAATGTGGTAGAGGTTAGTATCAGCTTGTTTTGTTGCTCTCTCTCTCTCTCGACTTTATGTGTGTACATACTATACAGTTGTTTCATATGTTTTTTTTTTTCATGTATTTTCAGAGAAACATTGAGGCGGAAATTTCATTTGAATGAATATTTGATTAAATACGGTATATATAAATGTTAAAGATTTTACGATCAGCTGCCAAATTTTTGAGGCGATTGCGATTTGGGTTGAATGTTGAAAACATAAGCAAACAAGGTTTTCTGGTCGGGAATATATGTAAAGCATATAATTTTATTTACTTAAAACTATATTTATTTTCATATATCACATACATATATTGAACTCTCACTCTACTTCGATACAAAACGCTTCTAGCATTCTCGTGAAAATGGCTCTCTATCGATATCGGCGGCCAAAAACCTAAAAATGGAATTAATAACATTTCGTTGTTGCCATAATTTCTAATCACTTCAAACAAGATAATACATTATTTAATATAAAACTTGAACATGCATAACATCATAAGCGCAAAAGAGTGGCACGCGCAAATTGACTGCTAAAAAACGAGAATTAGTCGACACGAGAATCACACACACATACATATATGTATAGACAGACAGACAGACAGACACACAAAACGTGTACGCCGATGGCATAAACGACGTTGTTGTCGCCGTCGTCGTTGTTAATATTGTTCAATATTTGGTGCTGTTTTTTCGTACCTTCTTTCTTCATTCATTTGCTAGTAAATAAAATAAAATTTGCGTAGGCGTTTTACTTATCAAATAGCCATAATTTGTATCAAATTCGAAACAACCGAAAAAATAGAAAACATACACACCATGTGTTTGTACAGTACGATGTGTGTTTGGTTGCATTGTTGTTGCACAAACATTATACACATTTTCAGCATTTTCAGCATATGCATATATATGGGGGAGGGTTAAATATATATTCGCGTGTATAAATGCGTTTTCATACGCATTATTTCGTGTGACGCCAGTCGCAATTGATTGCATTCCGTGGTGCAACGATTGAAAGAGAGACAGGCTCATAACACTCAATCTTTCATTATTTTATGCATATCCAACATTGGAAGTATTTGCTTGAATTCGTCAAATTATTAACGGCATTGATTTACATTGAGAATGGCCGAGACTGATTTTTATTTGAAATTCAGTGGTTTGAATGAAAATGAGAATAAATATGGCATTTCGAAAGGCCATGTCATTTTTTCCGCTATAATTCTTATCACAATGTGATTTCTCGATCGATTTTTATTCGGTGAAATGATGCCGGAATTGTTTTTGTCTAAAAAAAATACTGACATTTTACACTCAATTCTCCTGCAAGCATTTCGTAAAATTATATATTTAATCTGATCTAGCAATCGGTGTTTCTTTGGCAGCCGTTTATATCAGACAACATCAAGTTTCATTGACTTTTGACTTAAATTTTAGTTTTCTCGCAAACTTTCTTCAACAACTAGGCTTAATCAATAATTTACGTGAAACTACGCCAAGAGTGAAATAAGGTAAATCAAAAAGTACAGATTTGGATTATGTTGAAACAAAATTGTCTGTATTCTGTACGAAAATAAGGAGAAGATTAAATGAATTTTTAATATTCTGAAAATTTTAATTTTGAAATCTTTTCTTAAAGAAAGTTACAAGAAGGAGGTAAATACAATATTAAGGCGTTTGGTATTTCTGTTTTTTTTTTCTCTTTCTCTTGGACGGTAACTATGCTTAAAATGCCTAAAGGAAATGACATTCAATGTATCGTGCGTATGACAATGATTATGGCATAAGGGAGATAGGAAACGATAACAGCAACAACGACAACGATGGAATGGTATGAGACACTGAGGTGTAGTGAAAAGTGGTAGTAAAATAGGTGCAGCGTGAAATTGGATTTGAATATTACTTAAACACGGACAGGTCGGTTGGTCGGTGTGCGTTTTTTTCTCCCCATTTCCATTATATATCGAAACTAACTGCTGCGCTTAATTAAAGTTACTAATTCCTTGAGTTACTTTGAATGTACATGATCCTGTACTGTTTATGTTCAGGATGAATGATTGTTGTTGTTGTTATTAGTATTGTATTTTTCGTGTATGGTAAGTACAGACGCAATCTCAGCACAAATGACACAACTTCTAATTACATTTCAATTTGTTGTCGCTTTTTCTCGTCTCTGTCTTTTTGCTATTAAAAAGCATTTACCCAAACAATAAAAGGCCTATATTTGGTGTGTCTTCTTATTACACTGTTTCGTGTTCAACAACGTTCGTTTTCTCTCTATATGATCTTAGTTCAATACAAGAATTGCAAAATGATTAAACGACAAAGGAAACCCAAATAGTATAGTAATTCTATATTCTCTGTGTGTAAATACGAAACACACCGAAACAAATTAACAAAACACACCAGAAAATGTGACACGGTTTTTCTTCTTCTTCTTTTTCTTTTTTTTGTAAAACGATGAACATCAATATAATACGAACAACAACAACAAAAATGGTCGGCCTTATGTATGATTGAGATATCCACACTGTGAAAAGAATGTGTGTAAGTGTTTTGTCTTTTAAAGTGCACAAAATCTCTTGGTCTGTTTCCTTAAATTCGTTTTGGTTGATTGTTGTGTTGAAATGATGACATTATACATACATTTACAACGATAAGGTATCACACAGAGCGTATGGGACCCAAAAGAGAATACACTAAATTATCGATATTTTTTGATACTTTTCTACTTTGTTGCTTTGAAACAAAAATGAAAAATAAAAAAATAACACATCAAAGCATAAAACCAAACGGTATGTGTCTTAATTCACTTAATGTTTTTGTCTTCTTTTTCAGCTGGCCCTTGTTGACCTGGACCTTCTTCACGTTTGTTGGCCTGGAACATGGCAATGGAATGGCACCGTAGACGATGATATGATTATGATATTGTTTTATTGGTGGTGTTGTAAATTAATTAACATCCGTTGGTGAAAAAGGATGCATAGAATCACTCATTACAATACACTCTCTGACACACTATCTAAACTCACTGTGTTGTGCTTGTAACAGCAGTACCACAACGGAACAAACAGTGCAAACAACATAAAATAAACATTTGTTAGATTTTGTTGATGTTTACGGCCGAAAGAAAACTCACGCTCGTTTCATCAATCGGGATTGAATAAATGCCGAACCACGAAGACAAAATATACACAGGAAAAATTCGAGAAAATATTGACAAACTATGAATATGTGTATGTGTGTTCAATTCATCATTTAAAAATGCGTCGAAATGGTGAAATGGTGTATGCTTACGGCTGCTGATGCTGCTGTTATTGTTGCTTGCTTCGAGAGAAATTCGTGTATGAGATTTTTCTTTTTGTGTATATTATTGTCGTTGTCGTCGTGTTCTTTGCCACACGCTCTGTCTTCTTTCGTTTTTATGATGTTTGATGATGTTTATTTGTTATTTGTTTTTTTTTGGTTTTGGTTTTTAACTTACATTTGAATGAAAGATTTTTCTTGTTGAATGATAACACTTTCGTTTCGTGTAATATTTTAATTTTTCACTCACTGGTTGTTGTTTTTTTTTTTGTTTGTTTGCTCGATCTCTTTCACTCCGTTTTCGCTCACTAAATAAGAACTACTTCCTTTGACGGTGCACTGTTGTTTTCTTTACATTATTCTCTTTATTATTTTTTCTTCTTGTATCCACTGTTTGATATTCAAGCACAATGACTTCTTTATTTTTTATCACCACCAAACATGAGTACGAGACAAACACCACATCTAGAAAGTTTTCATCGTCGTTGGTATAATGGTATGTTTCTTTTTTTTACTTGCTTGCTTGCTTGCTTTTCGATGTAGCTGCTTTGTGTGTGCACAATTCACTGTATCACAAACACAAAACACACGCAACAATAATAACACAAAATCGAGAGAAAAAAAATATAATATTATTATTTATATGCACTTTATAAATGTTCGAAAACGTCTGATGATTGAGTGTATGTATGTTTTCTTCTTGTAATAATCTCTCAATAGCTCGTCGATTGGTTGTTGATTGTGCGTATTTGATAATTATGCTCCTCACTCACTCTTATGCTTTTGCTGGTCGCTTCTATAGTTTTTATTACTTGTGTTTTCGGGTAAAGCAGCATAAACCGAATCTATACAAAAATCCGACGAGTCGTCAACCCTCCAATATATTCACGGCCATTTTGATTTTTTTAACTTCTTTTCTACTGTTACTGGCGTGTATTCTTCTCTATTATTTCAGTGTTGTGTTATTTTTTTTATTATATTCTTCTCTACTGTATGTTCGACGTTTTTTTTCTCCCGATTCGACGAAGAGTGTATGTTGGTCATACGGAGTATTGTGTGCATCTATCTAGCAATGGAAATGAAATAAAAAAAGAACTCATGCAGATATACATGCACACACAGAGATAGAGATAGAGATAGAGAGAACATAAGAGAGCCAAAAACAACGTCGTTGAGTAGAACACAAGAATTGAGTGTGAGTATGAAAGAGAGAAATTCAGATCCAGTGAAAAAACGGGGAGAAAACACACAGACCGAATACATTTCTGGTCATTGTGCTGTTTTCAATGTGCGAGTGTGTAGCGCAAAACAACCGATGCAATGGTGTGCGTGGTAAATTTGGAATAGGCAACGCCATACGCTTTATTGTTCTGGCACCGAAGCACATGAAATTATCATATACGATATACACTCACACCGAGACAGCACTGACACGCACACATGTGCAGCGGTCGGAGGGAGAGAGAGAGATAGAAAATGAACTAAAAAGATATGAAAAGCCATTGCATTTGAGATATAATATAACTCTCGGCCCCATTCAACAGAGCAATCAACGAAAGAGACGCGCTTCATATGCGAACAAGCAATGAGCAATCTTATAATAACAATAAAAAAAAAACGAATGAGAGCGCAAAAGATGGAGAGAAAATGTGAGAGAACGACCGACAACAACATAATATACCGTTTAATAGTAACATCAGCAGTAATATTAACCGAATATGAGTGCATCGAGAGGAGAACAAAGCCACAAAGTCGACTAGACGAAAGTGAGATATTTTACCAATTATACCGCTTCGCTACGATGGCAACACACTCTACGCGACGCTTATTCTCTCTGGCAGCGTGTATGTATGCGTATGCAGCGTAAATGTATTTGTAACGCGCACGCCTATGTATATGTAATTTATGACTTAATTTGGTTGCCTTTTTTTCATTCGTAATTGGTAAATGGAAACATCAAACAGTGTTCATGTATCGATTCCATCTATATATTTTTTTTAATCTCTTTCATTAACAATAAAATTAATTCAATTTCAATCGACTTTATTGCAACGACTACTATTCGAATCAATATAATTGGGATAGCTTATGAGTGTCACAAACATTCGCATTTGTTGTTCGAAAAAAGGGCTTTTGTCGCATTTTTACGACTTGTCATTTATCAAAAAGAAAATGTTTAATTTGATTTTAATGACTTGATAATCCTTTTTCATTTTTTTCCTAACGATTTTTTTTAAGTTCCATTTCATTTGGATTTTACTCATTTTACCCGTCAACATTTCGAAACTTATATGCATGAAGTTGTCTTCCACCTGCAGTGAACATACACACAACTGTCAAAAAGGTTTTTTCATCGTACTAGATAATTGGTTGACAGTCCTAGAATGCCTTTCGACAGTCACTGGCATCCATGTTTTTTTTTCTCGTTCACAACGATATTCACGGCATACAGATACAAAGGCAAAGCTGTAATGCATTGTGTGTTGTGTCGTTCACTCAAGTAAAGTAACCCACAGTTTTCAGACGCGCGCGCTACAGAAACATTGAAGAGAGTCAAGCCGCTTTCAAGCTGAAACAAACAAATATAGCCGGTGCATTATTAGTGCATAAAATTTCGCTAAGTTTTTTATTCGCAAAAATCTCCCAGAAAGTTTGCTGATTCTTTTGGGAATAAAGAATTGTTTTTGATAAATCGAAACGCGTGTAAAAAATTGGTGAAATATAAAAAAGAGGAAAAATGTCGGTACCAGCACACAGCAAAAAGCGCGTTTGCTATTACTACGATAGTAAGTAAAAGAAAATTCATTTTGTTTACTAATTTCAATAAATTTGTTGAACGTGTGTGGAAAAAATTCATTCATTCAAAACCAAAACCAAAAGAAAATGTCTATTTCGATAAAATTCAAGCGTAGAGAATAATGTGTTTTTCGAAATTTATGGCAGCCATTACTCGTTTCACTATCATTTAACGAATTCGGACGACCGTACTTTTGTGACTTGAATGCTTGCGAAAGCGTTTTTACGTCGATGATATACGATGCATGTGTGATTGTATGACGTGCACCATTCTCGTTCACTGCTACGGTCGTCGGAATATATCGCTTGGTGCGTGCACTGAGATACGCTTCACATAAATTCATCGAAAATGATCCAACAATAAAACCAAGCAATGGCGTTAGCATTTTTGATTTAACCACATTTTTCTTGGAAATTCACCGTTTTTTAATATTAATTTAACTCATTTTGACTATTTTTTTTTGTGTAAATCGCAGGCGACATTGGCAACTACTACTATGGCCAAGGACATCCAATGAAACCACATCGTATACGTATGACCCATAATCTATTGTTGAATTATGGACTGTACCGTAAAATGGAAATCTATGTAATTATCACCATGCCATGAGAGTAAACTCGTTGCTATTGAGGTCCAAAAATTAATTGATTTTTTGTTGTTGTTGTTTCATCTTTAGCGTCCACACAAAGCCACCGCGGACGAAATGACCAAGTTCCATTCAGACGATTATATTCGGTTTTTACGGTCAATTCGACCAGACAACATGTCGGAGTACAACAAGCAAATGCAACGGTGTAAGTGTGAACCATTTAATTTCAGTTTGGATATCGATTCAATGGCAAATGGATTGATGTTTGTGTTTCATTTCGTTTATTTTCATTTGATTTAGTCAACGTGGGTGAAGATTGTCCGGTATTTGATGGACTGTATGAGTTTTGTCAATTGTCGGCTGGTGGTTCAGTGGCGGCGGCTGTAAAATTGAATAAACAAGCCTCAGAGATTTGTATTAATTGGGGTGGTGGTTTGCATCATGCCAAAAAATCCGAAGCATCTGGTTTTTGTTATGTCAATGACATTGTCTTAGGCATTTTGGAATTGTTAAAATACCATCAACGTGTTCTCTATATTGATATTGATGTCCATCATGGTGATGGTGTCGAAGAGGCATTCTATACCACCGATCGTGTGATGACTGTCAGTTTTCACAAATATGGTGAATATTTTCCGGGCACCGGTGATTTACGTGACATTGGTGCTGGCAAAGGAAAGTATTATGCGGTAAATATTCCATTGCGTGATGGTATGGATGATGATGCATACGAATCGATATTTGTACCAATCATATCAAAGGTAATGGAAACTTTTCAACCATCGGCTGTTGTTTTACAATGCGGCGCTGATTCATTGACCGGTGATCGTTTGGGTTGTTTCAATTTAACAGTCAAAGGTCACGGTAAGTGCGTTGAATTTGTGAAAAAGTACAATTTACCATTTTTAATGGTCGGCGGCGGTGGTTATACCATTCGTAATGTATCTAGATGTTGGACATATGAAACATCGGTTGCATTGGGCGTTGAAATTGCCAATGAACTTCCATACAATGATTACTTTGAATATTTTGGACCTGATTTTAAATTGCACATCAGCCCAAGTAATATGTCCAATCAAAATACAACTGAATATTTGGAAAAGATTAAGAATCGATTATTTGAAAATCTACGAATGTTACCACATGCACCGGGCGTTCAAGTACAAGCCATCCCAGAAGATGCGGTCAACGATGAAAGCGATGACGAGGACAAAGTTAATAAGGACGAACGTTTACCACAGAGCGACAAAGACAAACGCATCGCACCGGATAATGAATTTTCCGATTCAGAAGATGAGGGTGAAGGCGGACGACGTGACAATCGATCATACAAAGGCCAACGCAAACGGCCACGTCTCGACAAATCCAGCGATAGTAAACCAGCCGCCGAAGGTGAAGTAAAAGATGAGAAGGACCAAAAACGTAAGTCACAGAAAATGAATAACAAACCCACGTTTTTTTTAAGAAACGATTTTTTTAGCCATGATTTTTCATATATTCGTATGTTTTTACTTGTCTCTTTTACAGAGGAAACAAATGAAAATGAAACCGAAAATAAACCACCAGAAGAGAAGAAAGAGCCAGCTGCTGTAGCGTGATAAACTTAAACCTCTCTAAAGCATAAGAATATTTAAAGAAAAAAATCACAGATAAAAAGAAGAAAAGTTTTCATTGCGCTTTTTTATTGATGTTGTTACACTCATAACTACAGACATAGAAAAGCGCAAAGTAATATTTTTTTTTTATAAAAATGAACAAAAACAAAATAATGACAATTTATCATACACATATGTGTATGGTTTGCACAATAGTGTGCTGCATGATTAAAAAAAACACATTAGTTAGATTCCATTCTTTAACATTTTAAGTTAATATCACATCATACATCCATAAAAAAAAAATTGGAATTTTATTTTTCTGCTCAGAAATTATATTCTCGAAAATTAAAATGTCGATCCGTCGACGGTTGGAATATTTTCATTTATCATCATTCGTATCGCATAAAATTTGCATCGAAAATCGAAGAAAAAGAGAGCACGGAGATAAATAAGAATGACACAAACACATTCGTTGAACTCATACTCTTTGCTTTTCACAAGTACTCTACCTCAGCATCTGGCAGACAACCACAACATACCACATTGCATGTGTGCTTTTCTTAAATCAAATACTTTCATTACACATTTTGTATTCTAATTATATATTTTTTAAAGAGAAGAAAAGAAAATAACTTTCAATGTCATTGTGATCTCGTTCACTGGAGAAATGAAGATAAAAAAAAAAAACAAAAAACACGTAACAAAACATATAAAAATATTCGAGGGCTATTGAAATTTTAATGTAGAAAGTGAAAGAGAGAGAAAATCATAGCGAAAAGAGATTTACATTTTTTTAGTTTTATCTTGACGTATTACTTACAATTTTACTATTAGGAAATGAAGAACACAAGGTATAAAAAAAGAATTTCAAATAAAAACAACATGGAAACAATTCAAATAAATTTTGATACGTTTTTTCATTAATTTCATTTTATTTTGGTCTATACCGAGTGGATAATTAAAATTAACTTATATAGCTAATTAATAATGACTTGACATTGGAATATTATAATTACTATTAAAGGTCTTTGCAGTCACTCATTTATCAATAATTATAAAGCACAATGCCACCTCGGTACGTTTTCTGAGAGTCACTAAGACGACTCCAACTGTGTAAAATACTATAACATAATTTTTTTAAAAATAAATTCATTTTATATCCAATTCCAATTCAATGGCGGAAGCTCACGTTCAACGCATATCCGAAGAGTGCACAATGTCCTGAAAAGAAATAAGCACACAGTGTGCTATTAGTATAATTGTTGAACTTTAATAGACGATTTAAATTCAATCAACTAACCTCTGTACATGATCAATTTGGCAGCACAAATATCTCGATGCCAGACAGTCCTCAGAATGGGTTGATAACCTTAGACACGTATCGTTGTGCCGTTGGGCCTCTTCACGAGTTTGGTTTGGATTCTGCTGAAAAAAGTAAAAATTGGTTTAAAAAATGGTATTAGAAATAATGAAATATTATCACAAAATTTTCTTTGAAAAAAAAAAAAAAAAAAAAAAAAACATAAATCGTATTACAATTAGTGCAGCAAAGTTGTCGCTCATTCGATTTGATTCAATATATAATCCTTTAAAATTAATTGACACACCCAATATTTATCGAAACGTAATCGAGTATACTGTTCTGTTGTGTACGCAGCCATGCCCTTCTTCAAGCACGTCAAACGATGTCTGATGTAGTCCCACCAATTTTGGCCTTTCGGCGATGGCATACGTTCATACTTGGTTCGATCGTTTCTGTGGTTTTCTTCAAACGTCGTGAATGCTGCAGTCCATCTTTCTCCTTTTCGATTACGAATACCTTGTTTGGTCATGTAATGGTATTGATGACTACTTATCTTGAAATTGGTTTGATAAATAAAACAAAAAAAGCAAACAAGTTCAAACAATGGAAATTGGTTAGAAAAAACTGTAGAAAATTCAACAAATATAAGAAACAAACATCTTTTTTGGTGCGAATATTTCAACGAACCGAGGCATTCCATGTGTTCAATCCGGGGTCGATTCCGATCTCATACACAAACTTATTTTTCCGATACTTATCTCTTGCACTAGACGAATCGAATTGCAATTCGCTGCCTAAAAAACTGTACAAAACTGATGCCGATATCCCATCCGAAACGATTTGGCACTCAAACTGCTTATTCACAGATATAATACGATCGATTTCTTCGAGATCGAAAATCATATTCCAAAATCGTCTCGTAGTAATTGATTTGTTCTCATCATTTCGTACAGACCATACTTATCGAAAACTTATAATCGAACTGCCTTTCGTGAGCAAATACCCCCTTATTTTGGGGGTACTTTTTGAAATTTTCGATGGGAGGGGGTGCCCAATGCCAAAAATGAAATGTGCGCATAAAATTAGCTATAGTTGGCCATACATTTTGAATGTGAGAGTTATTTTGTACTTCTTCACATTATTGCTACATGGTATAACAAAACAATTGAATTTGAAATTCAAGATAATGTCCTATTTTTCTTGCATGTTTATTTTCCTTTAGCTGCTACAAAAATACAAGTGTATCTTGAACATATTAATACCAAAAATATAAAAGACATTTCGTTTGAAATATTTGAATGGCGAAAAATGAATTTAATGTGTCAAATAAAATTTCAAGTTCCAAGACAGGGATCATTTTATTTGGCTAATATTTTAGGTGTTAATGCATTTTTTTTTACCTTTACGCTGATGAAAAACGCCAAATGTCGTGTATTTTTGATTGAATGTGGAGCAATTCCACACAAAAATAAATGTTCTTTACAAAACTGTGCATTGTTTGAATTCAATTGTTTGGATATTATATATATTGAAGATCCTCAAAATAGTATTCTAGAAAATACTTTATCCTTTTGGAATGCCTTCCTTGTAGAAATACAAATTTACCCTATCATTCTCACCAAGAATTACATACATGTTTACCTGAAAGCAATACATTTTGGAAAATCAGCTACAAACTTTGAGTAGTCGTGAGCGAACTAACTAGAATGAATTGCATAAAATTGAATTTCAAGAGTAAATTGTTACCATACATAAAGGAGTACATCTGAGAGATCCATTTGATTGAAGCGTTTTTTTTGGGAAACAAAACTGATTTGTTTTTCATATGTATATGCGCCGTGTTGTTCCGTTCAAACATGTATTTGTTCTCAAACTCGAGCATCTCAAAACGAATAACCAAATTTGGCAAGGAATGAAAAATATTTGTGTTTTTTCTTGCGATTTGTAACACACACAGGCAAACATCCAGCCAACAGAGATTGCCTGAACTGAATTAAGTCACACATGCCGACATCTCAACACACGGAAACACGAATATGCGCGCGCCGACGCACTCACATTCTCGAATATCTATGTATGATTATAATAATTACGTTATATTCTCGAATTCGGCGCGGTTTTGCCGCTAATATGCATGCTAATGCACAATACATATACACACACGTGCATGACAGTTTTAAAAACATCCAATGATGGATAATTTTTGATGACATCGATGAATTTTTAAAATACTTAGACCCACTAAATGAACGAACGAACGAAAACAAAAAAAAAATGAATTTTGATCGATAGATTGTTAATGCAATAACACATACGATCGTAGTTTTTGTGTGTTTGTGCCGAAATCGAGTCAAGTGAAGACGAAACGTAAGAATTTTTATTTCTCGCTTTTTCTTGTGTGTAGTTTAAAATCGTGCAGTACAAACACTTAAACATTTAAATAAAAGAATCGAGCAGTTAGCGAGCACACACAATCATAGGCAAAGTCGCGCGCGCGTTGCAATGTATGTACAGCGAATGATCGAGCGAGAGGCACTAATACCGCCTAAACCGGCATTTGTCAGTGACTGCTGACACAATATGTAACAGCAATTGCTTATATTTTCATCATTGTCGTCATCGACATTCGCATCAGATTGCTGACCATTCGGCTGGGTGTATGTGTGCGCGCGCCCATTTGGATAAGAAAGAAAACAGAAACAAACAATCTGTGCAATGCCAAGTGGGCAAAAGCAAAACCTCTTTGCGTGCCGAGTGTATATCGAAAATCCAATTATTTCGCTGTCGTCAGTACGGTGGTAGATTGCGGTAGTGTTTGTGTCCAGTACCAGTGCAAGTATATTATCATGGAATTTTCAATTTTTGTGACTTTTATGTACGTGTATTGTTTTTTTTTCTTCTCTCGACATTTTTCATCGTCTTCTTAGCTTCGTCAGCGTGTTCGATGTGTGTGCGTGTATGTGTTTGTATTTTTTTTCTTTTTGGTTCCATGGACTGTACCAGAGAGTAAACAACTTAAAACTTTTTTCTTACATCTCCATTCGATTCTTTTGCATGTATGTACCACAACTTGGTTATTGTTTTTTTTTGAAGATTTTTATTTTTATGTTTCGATAATTTCATTGTTCTCACTCTTTCTCTCTCACACGCACACACACTCAGTCGGCTCTCAAACAATTCTTCTTAATTCCATTGTAATCTTTGGGTGTTAGATTTTCGCTTCGTATGCTCCTTGTCTTTTGGGACAGAGAGTGTGTGTCTCGTTGTATCGGTTCTTTCTTTTCGTTTTTTCCTTTTATTTTGTTTTTTATTGTTGTTGTTGTATATGATCGTTGTGCGGCTGCTATTACGCTCTCGACTGTGTTTGAATCAACACAACACAAACGCTCGCTGTATGTAGCCTATACTACACAAACGATCTATCTATTAATCGCATACACACATTTGAATCGAAGAATCTCAGTGTATAAATGCGTTGTCTTGCAAACATTTTTTTAAAGCATACGAACGAAAGAAAAAATCAACAACAACAACGGCAGCAACAGCACATATTATGTGTCTTTTACACATTTACAACTCCGTCTCGTCGTCGGAATATGAAGACACAGAACACAATGCTGTGTGTGCTAACGGCTGCCTGAAAGTAAGAAGTAACGAAACGAGAGAAGCAAAAAAAATAATGTTCAAAATACTCGGAATGAAAAATAGTGTAACCGTGTCTGTCGAATGTGTTTGTTCTCTTTTACTCTATCCGTAATAATTTTTTTATTATTATTTTTGTTATTTTTTCTACTTTTTATTTTTTTTTTTTTGGTTTATACAAATAATTTCTTCATATTTTTTTCATTCTTTTTAATTACCGAAAGTGTTGCGCTCTGTGTGTTTACAGCTTTCTAACACAAAATTACTAATGCCAAATTGAAAGAATAAAAATAAAATTAGTTGATTTTTTTCATGAAGTAAAAGTTACAGAGAAGAAGAAAAAAATAGAGAATAGAATTGAATAATTTCGTCGAGTGTGTGCGCCGAGAATTCGATGCCGAATGATTTAATTGGATTTTTATTTTCTCTCTCTTCATCTTCAGTTTCATTTAAGTGCCCCAATATATAACAAGTGTGGTTTGTGTGGTTATTCTTATTTTGAAAAATTCTCCTTTCATCAAATGTGAACATCATCTTTCACATCGAGAATTTCGATTGTGCATTTTCGGTTTCAATTTGATTTGTGTGTTTATTGTTTCTCTCTCGAAAAAGATTATATATATAAAGATTTGTGTTTGTGTGTGTGTTCGTGTGTGTGATGGTCGATTGACGAACATTTCAAAATGTATTGATATATTGTACGTTTCGCCTAGAAATTGACGAATGACTCAAACTGACATATGTGGTCAAAGTTCTTATACACAAAACAGAAATATGAACGAAAAAAAAAAACAACAACAAAAAATCTGACACATCCAGAAGAGACATAAATAAGTGCGATGGTTTGCAACGTTGCTGCTTATGAACGATTGCTACTTTTGCAATAAGTACAACAACGGGTTAACACCTTAACCGAATGGAACAGAGAAAAAACGCATAACAAAATGCTCAAGACATTAACTTTTTTTCCTACATTCATACGACATATTCAAATATGAACAATAATTCAAAATAAAAAGGCAGCAAAAGAAAGAAAATTAAATAATTGCGATATGAAGAGTAAGGAGAATTTACACAAAAATAAAGAAAAAGAATTACACATAAAATATTCGAAACGAATGAAACGAAATAAAATGAACTCGAAATTGTCGTACATGCGGCCCGAATTCATAATCAGCTTGCGTTGATATTTTTTTGTTCGTTGGTTGCTTACTTCAAGCAAACACATTTAGTTCTTTTTGGTTCGGTGTGTCTATACTTATTTTGATTCAGTTGGATGTCTCATTGAAATGTAACGATATTCATATATATATTTATGTGTATTTTTTTTTCTCTCTCTCTCTCTCACTCTTCATTATGCACATTAAAATACCGTATGCGCACGCGTCTCCCCGATTCTCAATTCCAACAAGAAATCAATCTTTATTTCAAACCAAAATAATGTGTCATCACGTTCAAGGCAAGTTTTCTATTTTATTCAAAACTGTGTGAAGCACGAAATATTTCCAATGGAATTTGGAATTGCACATATAGATGGAAACAGTGAACTCTCTATCAAAACGCTGTTGAACACGGTGATTCAATAGTCATTCTATAAGGCCAAAAGGATCTGATGACAAATCCGCGATCACATTCGTCGTAAAATCATCTCCGACGACTTTGTGAGCATTTAACCGTGCGTGTTATCGAAACGTTGTCGGTGGCAACGACGACAGCATCGAATCATCATCCCATTCACGAATTTACAAACCAAAATACTTTTTTTGTTACAAAAAATAAACTGCTGATGCCATGTTTGCTGGCTCTATGTTCATCACTTTCTCACTAAGTGGGTACATTTCTCGACAATTTTCTCGTGCTGTTCAACTACATGTGTATTTTGTTATCCACTGCTGTTGTTCGTGTGTTCTTTTTTCTCCTTCCCTCTCTCATTCTCTCCCTTTTTGAGAAGCTATTTCTATCCAACCAGTGCTAAAAATAAATATTCACAAATTTTACTCGAATTAAAAAAAAGCGCGCCGAAAGAAACGATGAAAATTGTTAAAAGAACGAATTTTTTTCTCGTCTTGATGATGTTTAAAATGCCAAACTAATTTTGTATTATTCAGATTTGTTTTTTGTACACATGATGAGTGCGGCTTATGCACAGAGAAAGTTCAAATTCATGTACGGTGACACAAACCAGACAATAAAGTAGTGGTTGCAATTTGAAGATCATAACGAAATTTATACGACTCGGTAATAATCACTGATTATCCGTATGGATTTGTGTCTTACGCAACTGACCAAAGAGCCAGCCGATTATGTAGCATCCCAATCATCACGTGAAATGCATGTCATAAAAATGACATTGCTATCGAGACTCTGCACAATTTCAATGTATCATTTTTGCTTTAAAAAAATGTTTCTCGACACTGCCATTTTGCGCACGACGATACAAATATATATTTTGTCAGTGTCTAATAATAATACGATGGAACGATATGTGCACGCTCTATATTGTACATTGTTGGCTTTTTTCTCTTTTTCGCTTTTTCTCTTGTTTCAATTCATTTCTATTTTGTTGACGATGTATCTTGTCGTTGTCGTCGTCGTTGTTGTTTGTTTTGTATTTTTTATGTATTTTGCCTCGGCGCAAGCATAGTGTCTCATTGTGAACCTGTCGTTTGTTATGCAAATACTTTCATGATCCAAAGTCGCGCTAACTCGATCTCTGCTCGCGGTGACATTTCATTGTGGCTCTTTTTTCTTGTTGTTGTTGCTGTTATTGAACCCAGTGCATATGAAGAGATAGAGAGTCTCTGCACTCTAAGTGGCGGTACTGCTGCTGCTGCTGCTGTTGGCCACACTATCAAAATAAAACTGTTACAAATCCAAAACATACGAAAACACTACAAACTTGCGAGATGAGAGACACATGCATATAGATGCTCTGGTCAAAAGAATGAGATGGAAGAGAAAGTCAAATGGATCTATAGAACATGGTCGATGAAACAGAGAAAGGAAAGACATGAGAGCAAATCACACAAAAAACAAACCAAACAAACAGACACACAACACAAATCTACGACCGAGAGATAGACATAGAGAGAGGGACCGATAGAAAGAGAACCTGTCACAACGAATAGGGTCAAGAGAAATGAAACAAGATCCGAGATTCTGTCGTCGCTTCGAAACGGCAACAGTACCAGCATCACTACCACGGCATATCGACAAAGAAAGAGAAGATTGAATCAAACGGGCGCGCACAGACTCCAGTCTGCAATATACACAAATTCTAGTGTGGAAATAAACATTTGAAAAGCATGTATGCGCGTACAGAAAATTTATCGTCGTTGTCGTTATCGTAGTTGTCATTGTTGTTATTGTTTTTTTCCCTTCATCATTCGTTTTTACGATCCGCTAACATTATTTTTTTACTCTTCTCAAGTGTAATATTATGCGAAAGATAGAAAGAGTATTTACATTTTAGCCGGTTGAATATTTACCGTAATTGGTTATAATACGATATGCCATCTGTAATCTTGAAGTTCTTGTGTTGATAAGGGCAAGATTCGAGATCGAATTAGCAAACATATCATTTTTTTTTCTCATTCCCGTTAAAATGTTTCATGTATTTTTATACGCCGATGTCAGACTAGTGAATGAATAGTATTATACTATATATAATATATATAAAAAAAGCATCGAATAGAAAAAGAGTTATTCCAAAAATAACAATTTGAGTGGGTGTGTGTTTGCATACGTGAAGCAGTGAGTGTTAATCGCATTTTGTGTTTTGCGCGCGCACACACGACACCACCAACATTTGTGTTCGTGAATTTAGTTTACGTTATATATTTTTCCATTAAACGGCCGCGTGCGTTTGTATAAAAACAAATCAACTTACTCAAACCATCGAGAGGAGCGAGCAAGAGATAGAAAAAGAGAGAGAGTGAGAGAGGGAGGGAGTGTGCGTGTGAATGCTAAATCGCAGCATTGCAAAAATCATATATAGGTTAACAGATCGTGCCGATCATAGTCTCATTTTTGGTATATCTCATTCTCGCTCTCGATTGTCGCAAGAAAATTGAATGCACACAAAGTTGTGTTTAATGGAAATTAATTAGGCACGAATAAAATTTTTGTAACAAAATATTCATAAATACAAACGGGAGCGAAATTTGATCGCCATTATTATCGAAAAAACATTATATTTTGTGTGCATTGTGCACAAGGTGAAAAGTCAATTTGCTTAAATTGCAACCATATGAATCATGCGCGACCAAGTCAAGTTTTCATTTCACATATGCTGCCAATATCAAGGGTCAACTTCTAAGTAAACCACCATATTTTTTGTGTATAAGCGAAAGGGAGATATATATATATATATAGAGAGAGAGAGAGAGAGAGAGTGCGATTACAACAATTTTTTTGATTTATATCATGAAAATATGTTTTGCCTATCTAAAAATAGCTCATAACCCATGAAAAAACGTCAATCATTAAAAAAAATCCATTTTGCATTTTTCCAAACCGAAGAAACCATATACACCGCAAAAATATTTAAATTTGTTGAATTTTCCACAGATTTTGTAGTGCCTAAAATCGGAGTGTTACAAATTGGTCGATAACAACATTATCGAAAAACAAAAGCACACATAAACAACATACACATTTCGGAAATAGACAATTTTCATCGAAACAGAATAGAAAAAAAAGAAATCAACAACCAACGAAAACAACAACAACAACAAAAGAGAAAAGACTGTGTTAAGAGACTAAGATTTATATTACTATTCGTTGTTTAATTGTTGAAATACCAAAATGTCCTTTCGGATAGTGCGGAGCTCAAAATTTCGTCATGTTTACGGTACAGCATTAAAACGTGAACAATGTTATGATAATATTCGTGTATCGAAAAGTAGTTGGGACTCAACATTTTGTGCGGTGAATCCAAAATTCTTGGCCATCATTGTTGAATCAGCGGGCGGCGGTGCTTTCATCGTACTTCCACATAACAAGGTAAGTCTCAACCATATGCACACGCACTACGGATTAAATGTTCGTGTGCTGTTTTTTTCTTTCACTCAATAAATCTTGATTTCAACAACTAACAAAACCACGAAACAAAAAACATTTAGTAATCGAAATGTCGATTGTTGTTGGCCATTACTTTATACAATGAGCGTATATATATTATATATACATTGCCAATGGATCAGCAAGCGATAGACAAAACAATCGTAAAAATCGGCTATCAAAAATAATCGCTTTTATGGACTTAAATTCCATCATTCGTCAATTTACACACCTATTCTTTGAAATGTGTGTGCCTTTTGTGTGTATTTTTCTTTTTCATTTTCTTTTTTTTATTATTTGTTTTCATTCTTTCACTTCGACGATCGGCTCGTTGTCGCATAAAATACGCATAATCGTAATGCTTGTTTTAGATAGATAGGTGGATAGATAGAGAGAAAACTTAAGTGGATTCAAATAACAAAGATTTTAATATAATGCTCATAATGCGAACGATACAAATATCTGCTCAACTGTGTAATGATTGATATATGAAGAACGGTTTTTATCGATATGATCGATAATTGTGTCATTTTTGCAATTTTCATTGTGTACCCCGTGTCGATGTCATCGTAAATGCCCATCCCATGTTCACACAACTGATATTTGTGTGTTCGGTGGCTCGAATGATTTTGTCGTTCTTTTTTTTTATTTTGCTTGCCTCACTTCAAAGTCAAGTATTCAGTGCAATGCACTTGATGCATTCCGTAATTGATAATTTTCTTTTCTGTGTCGTTATCATGTGTCGTGTTCGATAAAAAAAAACTACAACCGACCGATCGCCACAAACGGAGGGAAACATTTCATTAACAGTGAAAACATGACGATGAAAGCAATCCAAGTGAATCAACACAAAAACATAAATGGATCGTGACAACGCGTACAAAAGCACGCACTTCGACACAAATTCTAGTTTCTTTTACGTCTCCAATGCAGCGATACAAGAGTAACGAATAATTTTTTTTTGTGAGAGAAAAAGCGATAAAAAATATGTTGAACCAGTAGTCACAACATTTGATGAGTTTTTAGCGTAAAAATGGCACATTTTGGTCGAAACAACGACACCATCGGCTCATACAGAGAATGATTAGCAACAAATAGCCATAATATAATACAAACACACTCACAGAGAAATCATCAAACACACAAAACAAATATGAACTAAACGCTCTCGCATCATGTATATTGTAAATATTGTTATTTGTCAGCTATTTGTGCGCATGATAATATGTGCAATGCTCAATATATGTGTAAGTGTGTGTGTATGTGCGCACATTCAGCGCACCGCGCATACTCAATGACTCAAAATAATGGAATCAATCTTAAGTCGACTACTACTGGTCTCGAATTCCTAATTAAACGACAATATAAAATTATATATATAATAGAGTAATAAAACCAGCAACAGAAGAAAAAGAAGAATAAGAAGAGAAAAACAAAATCCATTCACATTTGTCACTGTGTTACAGTAAATAGACATAAGAATCTTTTGTGAGTCTTTTGCAATCGAAACATACTTTCACTGTTGATGTTCATGCCAATCGAACATATAGCGTTTATAGAAATGGTTTGATTCATTTTAAATATTAAATCACATCTATTTTCTCTCTCTCTCTCTCTCTCTCTCTCTCTCTTTCTTACATCGAACCATTTTCAAATATCATTCACATTTTTATTTCTGATCTAGTGTAATTTTCTCTAACGTTTCTCTCTCTTTCAATTGTTTTTCATACATTTTTCATAATTTCATGAAAAGCTTGCTCTGCACTGCTAATCTAGCACTAAGGATATTCATATCAAGTATTTGACGTAAATATTGTACAATATCCGGTCATGATTCATTTCTTGGGCAACTCCACAACAAAAATATTTGTGAATGTCGGCAATGTAAACATGATGAAACTTCAAATGTGACATCTTTTCTCTTCACTTATTCGACAAGAAAATGAGATGTGACCTTTTTTAATGAAATTATTATTGAAATGATTACTTCAAGCGATGCTAGACAATAGCAGAATTAAGTCGAAGAGAAATCATATGTGCACACAATGACTTTTCTTGGATGGAAACAAAAAAGTCCAACGTATGTAAGGTTGTAATTAAAAGATTCCCTAAAGCTTCACTGCCTCGAAAAATGCCGGCCTACGCATAATATACACGTATTATATTCATATTGAAATGATAAATAATCCTTGGCTGTTCGGCTATTTTGTGTTTATTCTAGAGTGGCCGCGTATCGTTGCGAGATCACCAAAATCTCGAAATTTAAACGATACAAGCAATATGGGCCAGAAGTGTTGAAATTTTCGAGGTTAATTTATGAATGTGAATGGCAAATTTATCGCTAGCACAAATAAAAGCGGCTACCTATATATCGTCTTGATATATAAATTGTTGTAGGGCACAAATCTGATTTTCTATCTTTCGCGCACACACACACTCTCGCTCTTTAATTCAAGCGCGCATTTCGTTTGATCAATTTTGTTCAAAACGTGTAAAATGCAATGCGCATTTGATGCAACATTGTGATACTAGCCATCAACAACAGTTTTAAATAAGCATTTAATTGTTGCTCGAAAAATAATTTTTCTTTTAAACTAATACAAAAAAAAACGACGCAATTACATTGCAAATCCTGGTGTATAAATCAAAGAGTTTTTCAAATAAACATCACACACGAAGTCTGCCAAGGAACTTAGAGCGAAAGCAAAAGAAATAATAAAAAAACACACATGAACGAACGAATAAAAAACAGTGTGTATTTGTCTGTGTGCATGAGAAAGTGTGAGAATCTTCATTTGAAACTATTTTCGTCGTCTTTCCTCATTTTGTTTTGCGATATTTGCGACGGTTTACGTGCTTTATTCCTGCTGCAGTACGATCACGCCACCGAAAAATCCTGATTGTTTTTTTTTTTTGATTGTCAATGCAAAAATTCCAATTTTTGAATAAAACTGGAACACATATTACGCAGTGCGCACACACATTTTAACTGTTCAACTATTTTTCTCACACGGTAGAAATTGACCTTTAATTTTTTTGTTTTCATTCGTTGTTCTTTTTGATCTTTCAATTAAATTCAATATCTTATTTCGGCAAAATTATTGGCCACATGCCAATTTATCAATGCGCAATGTTGACGATTTAATTTTAGAAATTTGTTTTCCTCTTCAAAACACACATATATTATGGATAATCAAAACTCTTTTGGGAACGGTCGATCAGATGGAGAGAGAGAGAGAGAGAGAGAGAGAAAATGATCGCACCTTATTATGAAATGTGTGTAAGCTAATATATATTCTGTATGCGCAGCGGTATTTGGTTAGCCAGTAAAAGTCGCCGTTTTGTCATTTTTCTGTCGTTGTTGGCTTTTTGTTTTAGGCTGGCCATTCAAAATAGGTCACACACTTCATCGTTTTGTCATTCAAACCAACTATTTTTGTCTTTTGTGCATGTTTGTGTGTGAACGAGTGTACGGTGCTGTCCAATGTTTTACGGTCACTTTCATACTAATAATATTTCAAATTTTTGATGACACTTCATTTTTTTAGTTACTTTTTAAATGCGCGCGAGCGCATGTCATACCGAAAAAGAACACCAACGTATCATTTCAAACGAATTGTGTGTTTGTTGCCAATGGCTTAGTATTTTCATTCAATTTAGATTCAGTTCAAAGACATGTTTTTCAATGAACGTGCAAAAACAACAAGAAAAAAAAACAGCAGCAAAGACGACGACAACAACAACAACGAAAACACCATTCAAGATTTATTTGATGATTACTTCATTTGTAATTTTAGATACATTTGGTATTCATATTAAAATGAAATTTCATTTATCTGTTACACAAGGTTGGTCGTATAAATCCAGATCATCCATTGGTTGGTGGCCATAAAGGACCTGTTTTAGATATTGCCTGGTGTCCACACAATGACAATGTCATTGCATCTGGATCAGAAGACTGTGTGGTGAAAGTGAGTATATTCATGTTAACAACATCATCATATGCATGTCAAATTACTTCAAAATAATGTATGATTTTTTTTTCTTATTTTTTTTTCTGTTTTTTTTATTTCGCCAAAACAAATAGGTGTGGCAAATTCCTGATGGTGGACTTGTTCGCACAATCACCGAACCCGTTGTTGATTTGCTTTACCATCAGCGACGTGTTGGTTTGGTATTGTGGCATCCGACGGCATTGAATGTTTTGCTTACGGCCGGTTCGGATAATCAAGCCGTTATTTGGAATGTTGGTACTGGTGAAGCGCTAGTCAAAATCGATTGTCATCCAGACCAAATATACAGCGCATGCTGGGATTGGAATGGCGGGAAATTGGTGACAACGTGCAAAGATAAAAAGATTCGTTTGATTAATCCACGAACGGGTGAAGTTGAAAGCGAAGCCTATTGTCATGAAGGATCAAAAGCAACGCAAGCCATTTTCTTGCGGCACGGACTCATCTTCACCACCGGGTTTGATAATTTTCTTTTCAATTTTGCTTTTCCATTTTTCACCATTCGATTTATTATTCATTTGTTTCTCTTATTAGATTCAATCGATCATCAGAGCGTCAATATTCTCTTCGAGCGCCGGATGCTCTCAACGATCCAATCGTAATGGTTGAATTGGACACATCAAATGGTGTTATGTTTCCGTTATACGATCCTGATACAAATCTAGTTTTCTTGTGTGGAAAAGGTGATTCGGTGATCAGATACTTTGAGGTGATTTTTTACAACATCAACACAGCGACATAGACTTGAATTGAAATTTATATATTTTCCTTCAATAGGTTACGCCAGAAGCGCCATTTGTCCATTTCATAAACACATATCAGTCACCAGATCCGCAACGCGGTATAGGAATGATGCCAAAACGAGGTTGTGATGTGAACACCTGCGAAATTGCAAAGTTTTATCGACTGAATAACAACGGTTTGTGTCAGGTGATTTCAATGACGGTGCCGCGAAGGTCAGAACTTTTCCAAGAGGATTTATATCCGGATACGTTATCTGACGAATCGGCCACAACTGCCGAAGAATGGGTCGAAGGAACTGATGCTGAACCAATTTTAGTTTCACTCAAAGTGAGTTTTCAATGTGGTTTTTCGTTATTTATTTATTTATATATGTATATTATGAAGGGATTATGCGAAGATTGAGTGCGTACAGTGTATACATAGACAAAAAAACGACAGTTTGACTCGCTTTAATATCGGTCATCGTCTGAATATGTACACAATTCACACTCTTCGTATGAATGCCTCCAGTGTATGTCAACTATATTAGTACATTGAATTGAAGTTTCTCTCGAAAAGTATACTCGAGCATTTTTGACGACGAGAAAATCGATTCAATGTGTATAAAAGATTTTGACCGTTTTTAAGCTTTATTCATCAAAACTACTCCTAATGTAAATGCTGCATGAGTGCCAAACACTAAAAAAAATCAAATTCAATTTTACTCACTGGCTACACAAAAAAAAAACACTTACTAATCGGACCCGAAAATCCAGATTAGAATGTATGATTGTTGTGTGTGTGTGTGTGTTTGTGTGCACAAATTCGCAGCTAAAAGAATATACTAAAAAGTTAAAATTAAAATTTAGGATCGTTCTTTAATGGTACAGGGTGGTTATGTGTCACCATCAAGCGCCAAAACGTTGACCGTGCAAAAGAAATCGAATGTGCTAAATAAAATACCACCACGCGGTCCCAAAGGAAATGCCACAAACAATTCAAATGCAACCAACAACAACAACAATACATCTCTAAGTACATCCAGTATTGATGTAAGTATTTGCGTCACAATTCAGATCATCAATATTCCGATATAAACATTCATTTAACATTATTTTGTTCTTTTCGTCTTTCTCTTTTCATTTTCTCATGCGGAAATGTTCCCTGTTGTACAAACTGTGTGCATGGCATATACAGGAAAGTCAATTAAAAGAATTGACGGATGAGCTGAAAAAGCAAAGCGAGGAAATGCGCAAACTGAAAGCGATCATTGTTAAGCATGAGAATCGAATTCGTAGCTTGGAAGCGGCTCAGAAGGCACGCGAAGATGATGCTCTAGATTTAATTTTACAAAACAACGATTCGGAAAAGCGAGAGAATCTAGCTCCAGATGAAGTGTAAAAATACACAAACAATTTTTATCTCCAATTTGTGTAACTCTGCAATAATGCAAACAAAAAAAAATGTGTGTTTTTTTAATCTCTGATAAAAATTAATTAATTTAATCGAATTGTTATGAAAAGAACAAAAAAAGAGGAGGGAAGAAGAAGAAAAGTACCTAAGTAATTTACAAATACTATGGCTCAAACTATTTACACATAAAGTTAGAATGGAATACGAGCAACGAAATAAAAATCTCGAAAATTCTGTGTAAAAATGAAAAAAAAAAAAGAACGAAATTTGAAGAAATCTACAATCTTTATAAATAATATGTATAAAAGAACGTTTTAATTTAAATGAAAGAAGAAAAAACATTTTGTATAGAAAAGCAAAAGCAGAGAATGAGAGAAAGAGAGAGAGAGCAGAAGGCGTATATAAGAAATCCTCAAATTATTATATATTATTTTAAGCACAATTTGACTTAGTCAATTATCGAATCGCTAGGCTTTCGCGCATTCACACCATTTCTTCATTTTTTTTGTTTGTTTGTTTGTTTCATTTGTAATTTGCTAAATATGCCCCGTATTATTCATTTTCATCTATTTGTTTCTTTTTAGTAAACGCATTGCAATCATTTTGTTTTTTTTTTTTTTATCTTTTTTATATATACATATATAAATATGAACTCAAACAACAAAAAACACTATTCTGTCTCTATCACATCTATTCATGTACATAATTTATGCATAGACATTTGTTTTGTTTCCTTTTTGCTTGTCTGACGCAATCGGAAAGCAAATTTATTTTCTTTTTTTCTTATTTTAATTTTAATGTCATTGTTCACATTTGAGCGTATCAAAAGCAATTTTATAGAATTAGGTGAAAAAAATTTACCCGTTTTTATTTTGTTGAAAAAAAAACGAGAAAAAGTCAATTCTAGTAAAAGCAACTGTAAAAAAAGAACATTATGCAAATGATTACAACGAATTGTTTTAAAATAACATACATATAGATACATGTTCAATTAGACAGCAACAGTCTAATGTGAAAGACAACAACGAAAATTAAAAAAAAAAAACGCTACGCAAATCAAAGATGACAAAACAAGTTTTTTTTGTTGTAATTTTTAAAAATGTTTTTCTTACTTAGTGCCATTATATTAACATTTTTAAACACATGAATGTCGAAGATGAAACGAATTGAAAATTTGCAGTGTGCGTGCAACGAATGAAGATGCATGATAATGGAAATCTGACCTTTTTTTGTTCGTTTTTGAAACTCTTGCATTTTTTCTATAAGTATCGAAGCTCAAATTAATTTTTATGCGAAAAAAATAAAATGTTATATAAAAAAAATTTCCTTCACAAATTGTATCTATTGAAAAGAGAGAAAACAAATTTAAAAAAAATGATTATTAAATGAAAGTGTTGTTAAAAACAATAAATAGCGTGCAGATGTTTTTTAATTGATGACTATCCCCTCTTTGGAGAAAACGAGTGAAGAAAAACGAAACGAATTGCAATTTGCAAAAAACATTTCTGTCAAATTTTATTGTCCAAATTAAAATAACTCACTAAAGTCTTACACGATAAACACGGTAAAAGGAGCAAAAAAAAAGGATTTTTATCACAAAAACATTTCTGAATTTTCAGTTCTAAAAAACGATAAACACATCTGAGATTTTTTTTTTTTTTTAAAAGCAATTTTTTCTTTTGTCTAAACCTAGGTTTCAACTTTTATTTGTTTGACTGATTTCACATTGTAGAAAGAAAAAGTACCACCGACGAAAATGAAAACAATTTGATTTTACATATTATTTAATAATCAAATAAAAATCGACATTGAAATGCATTACTTTTCTTCTAAAATGCTCACAATTTATTGCCCACCTGGCATTATTGTGATGTGTGTGTCTGTGTGTGAGTGCGCTTTATATACGATTAATTGTTTTTCTTGTTTAGCTAAATTGTTCACGTTGTACATATTCTTTGTGTGTGTGGTGTCTATGTTGTGTATTAAGAAGCTTAAAATGCAGCTAGAAGTGATTGATCGAACCGAAAGATCAAACATTTTCACAACAAATCCGCATGCTAATTGTCGTAATTGCTGATCAAAGATTCATGTTGCTCAGATAAATCAGATATTCTGCAAAATGACAGAAACAAAAAACAAATGTTTTGAAAAGATTTTTTAATTTTGATAGAATTTTTTCTATTTTATTACATACCTAACTATATTCGGTCGTCGGCACAAGAACAATTTGCGATAGGCGATTTTAAAGAGTTGCCAGAGCGGATCGCTGTCCTCGTTTCGCATCAAAAATCCAACGAACAACAATGATCCACACATTGGTATTGTGCCACAGTAAAAAAGCGACGAAAATGTCTTACTTTTAAAAATCACATCAAATAGCATAGCCAATGGAATTTGCAGAGTCATTGCAATCGTTCCAATCAACGATGATGTTAGGAAACATGACCTGTGGATCAATCGAAATTGCATGTTATCAAGTAAACAAAGCAAGTCAACATTTCAATTTCTATTGAATGACCAATTTCAGAAGATTTGACAAAATTAACTTCCATTTTCCGGTCATTTAATTCGACATAAAATGTCATTGCAAATATTATTCTTACCATAGCCAAAGTGCTTCAGATAAAACAGTGCCGATTAATCCATTCAAAAATAATACTATGAATTGACGTTGATTTGGTAGTTCAAACGATTCAATTTGTGTGAAATTCAGTACGAAAAATATTGGCCACATCAAAAGCAAATTCCACAAACCGACAAATCCTGTGTACAAATCAACACAAATTCACCATTAAATCAGTGTTCATGTTGTGAATGATAAATATGAACTTACCAAAAAAGAGTGGTATATCAATTTTCTCTTCTGTATCACTTTTATGCTTGACTAATACTAAATATGAGGCATAAAAAAAAGCACTTAGTAATGCTAAAACAACTCCCTTTGACATTTTTGGGCCTTGGACATCGGTTATTGTAACCATCACCTATGTGTGTTTTTATATTTGTGCAAATAATATAAACGGGTGAGTGAATTGAAGAAAGAAAAGCAGAACGAAATAATAATTTTATGATTAATGATACTAACCACACCAGCAATGCAAAGGAATACTGCTATTAATTTCGATAAAGTGAATCGATCACCGCTCGATGATGGATAAATCGATGCCAAGATTAAGGTGAAAAATGTTGATGTCGAACTCAACAGAAGCACCAACGCTGTTTCGTTTGGTTCCAGAGCCAGTTGAAAAAGATAATTTGCGATAAACCACTAAACAATATTCGAAAATCGAATTGAAATAAACTTTAATTTAATTGAATTGAACCAAAGTGGATAAGTAAAATAATCATACCAAAACACAGAACATTAATGCGGTGCGAGCTGTTTTGTGATTCGTTTTTTGTCGTCGAATTCTCATGCTGGCGGAATACGATAGACGTGACATCAGTGCTTCAGTTGCATCATGCGATGACATTTCACGAACCTCAGCCAATTTACTGAATCGAACACTTTTAATACTGGAATCATCACTTTCGGTGCCGGAAACTTGACCACCACCATTTTTAATCGGCACATACGTTGAATCACTCAATGAATTTCCATTTGTAAAAAAATTCTCATCCTCTACATTCTGATCGACAAGCTATAAGAAGCGAAATATATATTACATTTACCTGAATGAAGAAAAAAAGAGAAGAAAATGTTCACACAAACATACCGTATAATTGTTGCGATTCGGATCACATGAATTTTTCCATGGTGCAATCAGTCCAAGCACCAAAAGGTACAGCGTAAACATAGACGTTTTAAAATATGTGCAGAAAAACGGTTTATCGAAGTTCTCATTTTGATACAGAAACTGTAAATAAAAAATAATATTAAAATAATTAAAAACGATCAACATATGTTGTTCATTTCTGCTGCAAAGTTCACTCAACTCACCTTTGTTAGTTCGCTAGACGATACCCAGATAATGTCAACAATAATCAATAAAAATATGCCTAATAGAAGTTTGTGTGTTTTGTTAATCATTTTCGGCTGGCGGCTGATAGTGCAGTTGCATATCAGATGGGTGTATTTGTGTGTGTGTGTGTGTGTATGAGTTGATGAGCAAAGTATGCAGTTGCGTGTGTTTCAGATTAAAATCAGTGTGGAAATTGGAATTGATCGATGAAAATCATCGAAGAATCTCTGTATTCACACGTCAATTTTGGACAATGCAAATACATTTGAAACCTGACTTAGGTATCTTTACTTCTTCGACTAAATTAATTTAATCTATTGTATCGATGTTGTTGCTGTTACATCTTATTCTTCAGTTGTCGAATTCTTCTTCATTCATTTATTAAAGTGAAACATATTTTAATTAATTGACTGGGTGGAATGAACGATATATTAGATTGGTGTTTTATTTTATTCGATCGTCATTAAAATTCCCACAGCGACGACAGCAGCAATATTGTGTTGATTTTATTTCTAAAAATGTGGTTTTAAAACAAAGAAAGAAAAACGAAAAAAAAAATATTTGAACACCTTTTTTAATCTGAAAATAACTGTTCTTCGAACGTCTCAATTGCGATTGATAAAAAACGGAACAAACAAAAATGCCGAATATTTTCAATAGGTTCGATTGTCTTTTTTCGTGCTTTAAGCATAGATTGCTGCATACGATTTCGTAACCGAAAATAAAATTCGATCCGAAAATCGCGTGTTTTGTAATCAATTACTTTTCAATGTATTAAACATGCAATGGTCTAAATGTAAATTTTAAAATCAATAAATTTGTAGCTTTTTTTCATTTTGTTTCCAAGATATTTGTGTCCATTTATTTTACTTTACGACCGAACTATTCACATTTTAGCATATGGTATGTGAGCAAAACCGGGCATTTGCCACTGACAGTACAAAATTAACCAAAATCCAAATCGTACGATGATAATTATTGTACTCAAATATTCCTTATTCAAAAAAAAAAAATGCCGAAAAGACAACAAGGTCATGGTGCGCATATGGTTATAAAAATGACAATGGAAACTTACGGTGTCCAACTTTAACTGATGGAAATTTCCGTATATAGAAAAATCTAGGGGCTTTCTACTATTCGCGAATGGCCATTTATTCGCATCAACATCTATGAAAATTCGTATATTTCATTCGAAACCATTCGCGAATGCCGCATACTGTTTGCGAGATGCGACATATTGCTGTGATTTGTACATAAACATTTCTGTGTTTAGTTTGTATGCGTGATCATTTGCTTCCATTCGCAAAATATGTATGAAACATTCGCTCACATATGCAACATTCGTGTAAGTCGGAACCCCCTAGAGAAAAATGTACAAGACCAATCGAAAGACTATGAGAATTCATAGAATCATCACTGTTTTTACTCCATTTAAACTCTTTTCAGCGAAACGATAAAAAAAGCAATAAACAAGGTAAGACTTAATGCACTTTAATATACACGAATGTATTTTTAATTTTGTCATAAAAAACCATTACGTCGACGATTTTCAAACAATTGGCTTGTAAAGTGGCATATTTTTTTTTCTCCAACAGGTCCTAATGTTTGAGTACACACACATATGAACTATATTTTCTTCGAGTTTTCCTTTCTCTGAATTGTCAAAGTAATCGATATTTGTTTGTTAAATTATGGTCTTTTAGCATGTCGCCTACTTTTAAAATGACTAAGAACAATACAATTCTTGTTATTTGACCTCGTAAATGATCCATAGGCAAATTGTTTTCACAAAACAATGAGACAGAGAGAAGTTCAAATATAAATTGTTCAATTTCAATACATTATCTAACAAATACACAAAAATTATCGCTGTCCGATAAAACAGATATTTACGCAGCGTTTGTAAAACAAAATAACAAAAACAGAACACTCTTGCGAAGCGATAAACAAAAATTGATTACACTTTTTGGACTACAATGAATTTTGATTCATTGAATGTGATAAAGACAAAAAAGACACAAATAAAACGCCCAGCAATTTTGCACTCACTCAATTTTCATAAAAGAACAATTAATTGATTGTAACGGGCAAAAAAAAGAGCAGCGATTTACCTGAAAATTGCCTTGTACATCAATCACAAAATTGAAATATTTATAATATTCGCTTTAATGTTTACGTCTTAGTGAACAACAACATTTCAATCACAGAAGAACCGAACGTACTACATTAAACAGAGAATTTATTTTGACACATTCATACACTGCACTATAAAACCGCGCAATAGCACCAAATTAACCGGTCTGAAGTTGGTTTTATCATTTTGTAAACGAATTGTTTTCCCATTGAAATACTTGCAGCAATATTTTCTTCAATCATTTTTAAATTTTTAAATTTAATTTTTTTTTCTTCTTTTAGAAACAACAAAAATTATTGCATTTTTTTTCAATGCAAATCAACATAAAAAATTGAGTCAAATTCAAATGAATGAGCTGAACTAAAATAACGACAACAATCGGTTAATATAATGATAAGCAACTAAAAATAGCTCAGGCCAATAAAACCATTGACAAACATGCATAAATATTCATAAATTATTGAAGAAATATTTTATATAGAAATTAATTACCATAATCGAGTTAAGATAGAAAGCCTTTGAATCTGAAAGTAAATAAGCTCAAATTTCAATAAAAACTGCAATTATTTTATGATATGAATTTAAAAAAAAAGGTTTTTATTGCTGTTTTGGGGGTTAATCAATAATTTGATGTTGTGTTTCTGGACGTTTTTTTTTAACTGTTAACGATAGAATGTAAATAAATATTTTTTTGAGAAAATTCGGGGCTGTGTGAGTTAAAATTTGAAATTGTTTCAATTAATACACAAAGTTCGCACAGTAAATTTTAAATTTTTTTTTATTTGTCACCTTGTCATCAATCTCGATTATTTATTTATCTTTTTGTTTTTACCTATACTAATTAACTAATGGTTTTTTTTTTTCAGACTTAATGTAAAATGTCTTTTTATTCGCTCATATGAGACTACGAGGTGTAAATTGATGATGGAAAGAAAAAGTACTACATTTTTCTAAAAAAAATCTCTACTTAAACCATAATATTTGAATATGTGTTGTTTCTAGTTTTGTTCGATATCAATTATTCCGAATACGATTTTGGTTGGTTTTTGGGCAAGAAACCAGACAAAAAACCGAAACATTTTGTCAGCCCTTTGTTGTTGACAAGAAGTCGCGACTTTTATTTGTCTTGTCGTTTTTTTTGCTAGATTAAGGACTTAAACACTACGCTTTCAAAGTTCGTTGTTATAAAATTAAAAAAAAATTAAAATATATATCTGTGACTAGATTTGTTAAAATATAATGTATAAAAAACGCTGGCAGTTTGAAAAAGTATTTTTGTTGTTGTTGTTATTGTTTCACCTGAGTATTTGAGTCTTAATATTTGCCATTCTCTTCGTGTTTTGGCTATGTGTATCGCTTCGAAGCTCTTGTAAACATAGCGATATCTATCTTTTTTTGTTCATTTTTTCATTGAGAGAGAGTGAGAGAATGAGAATTGTCTGTTCCGTGTGAAAGGATGATGTTTGATGAAGATGTAGATGTGCATGTCATTTGGTACAATATTTTTTGGGAATGAATAATTTAAAGACTATTCACAAACGCGTGATCGATTGTCACATCGAATAAAACTAAAGAGAAAAATAAAACTTATGTGAAAGAGGTGTGAACATGAAAGTGCATCAATAAAAATTAAAACAATAGATTTAATTTGATCAACGATTCGGTTGATGTTCATAATCGTATTGAATTTGTCCGATTGCTTGGAAAATTTGTTCGAAATTTGGACGATCGCTTGGTTTTCGATTCCAGCAACGGCGCATCAAATTGTACACAACCAACGGTGTATTTTCTGGACAATGTAATGTATTGCCATCCTTAATGTATTTGACGACCTCTTCATGTGTCATTCCATAATATGGTTGAAGTGCAAATGAAAAAATTTCCCATAGAACAACACCGAAGGCCCAAACATCCGATTCCAGTGTGTATTTATTGTATAAAATACTTTCTAATGGTAGCCAACGTATTGGTATTGCGTCACGTTCATCACCTTTATAGTAATCTTGCATGTAAATTTTATGCGATAAACCAAAATCGGCAATTTTCACCGTCATATTATCATCGATGAGACAATTTCGTGTGGCCAAATCTCGATGAACAAATTTCTGTTCGGATAAATAGAGCATACCTAAGGGGAGAATCACAAAAGAAAAGAATAAAATTTAAAATAATCGATAAGTAATCGGAAAAATAATCAATAATAATTAATAAGTAATTTTTAAGTGATTTGAGCATACCAGCGGCAATTTGGTGGGCAAAATTAAGTAAATGTTGATGTGATAATTGTTCGCGATTCGTTTGATAGTTGACATTTTGTTGTGGTACATATGGCGAACATGAGCGTAAAAAACCGTTTAAATCACCACGTGACATATACTCGAATAGCAAACACATTGGTTTGCCCACCGCACAAACGCCAAGCAATTTTACAATATTTGGATGATTAAATTCGGCCAGCAGACATGCTTCACGCTCAAAATCCACTTGCAATTCAGTGCTTGCATCTTCCTTCAGCATTTTAACGGCAACCATTGTAAAATCATCGCATGGAATTAAATTTGGTGCTTTTCCTTGAAATACGCGTCCAAACGCACCTTGACCCAAATCCTAGAAAATAACAACACACGTAAATCTACACGCTTCATACGTGAGAATGTTAGTGATTATACCTTTACGTAAATTATATTATTTCGCGGATATTCCAATTTTTCCAATTTATGATTTATGATCACATCACTATCGTTATATTGGATATTTTGATTTAATGTTGATGTATGAATTGGCGTTTTATTCAAATCAATCACTGGATTATCATGCGTTTCCGATTGACTATATCCGCTGACCAAACGATTTCGATTTCGTTTGTGGCGTGTCACTTTTGAGCATAGCAACACCAACAGGTGCAAAACAACAATCGCAATAAAACCAATACCGCCCAATAAAAAGACCATTGACGGTGTGAAAAAGTTTTCCATCGCAATTGGTGGCAAATGCGTAACGGAAGAATCGGTCGAATTAGCTATTTGAGATAAGAAAAGAGAGAAAAAGAGAAAGCGAATAGTGCATCAGTGAAACTCATTTTTTAAAGATAATTTTTTATTTGAATTGATAGAAATATTGCCATTTTTAAAGTCATCTGCTAAACTATGTTTTTTATGTCACAATATTTTCAGTTCAGGATAGATCAATGCGTTTAATGTACTTACGACAGAGTGGAATGTCACACAGTTGCCATCTAACCAATTCGTTCATTGTATAACACCAGGGACTTGGCTCTTCGCCACCAGGATTTCGACAGTAATTTTCGGCATTTTGCATTTGACGAAACACATTTGGCGGCTGAATGTGCGTATGCGGTTTTTGTGAGTCCCATTTTTGGCATGGTATACCACTTTTCGTTACATTCACATTTCCCATATAATAACGACCGTTTCCCATACGACAATCATCTATGTGTGTTGTTGTTTTTTTTTTTTTTGAATTTAAAATTAAAACCATCATAAATATTTATTTATTTTTTCGCGAATGAAAAACAAAGTGTTTTTCTCTTTCATTTGAATTTGATTTTTATATATAAGATATGCATAAAATGTGTGTAATATAATATAGTACATACATGTGACATCTTCTGGATTCATTTCGGTGAGTCCGACCCATGAGCATGACGGCGTTTCAGCTGATGCATTGTATCGTGGAAGTAATTTACAGTCGGGCAATCGGAAATGACCCCTTGTTTTCAATGGCATGCCACGATCACGTTTTTCTTCCAATAAAGCCCAATCATTAAAGCAAAATTCCATGGCTGTTGCAATACAATCTTCATAACACAATGGTAACATTTTTGAGCGACCATCTTTGATGATACATTTCGGAAATGCATATGCACACAGCAATTTCTAATCGAAAACAAATTCATAGAAAATATCATGATTTGTCAATAAGGCACTTCTATGGTTCTTTGTTTTCAACATTTTTTTTTTCTATCAAACATTGAAATGTATTTTAAAACACTGAATATTACCTCCGCTGCAACTCGACACAATCCCGTTAGTTCATTGATTAATTCATCCCATAGAGCGGTTGTGATTTGTTCGTTTTTCCAACCGCCTTCTGGATCCTCCTGTGTTAATTTAATAATAAAATACTGGTATGAGTCACTCGTTCGAATGCAAAATGTCCAGTAAACTATACAATTCAATTAACTGTAAATCAACTTACATTACTATACCAAACTTGGTCGTACGTTATATATGAATTGCATATTTTTCCATGATATGGAACACAATATCCAATCAATTCATGTGTTGTATCACTGAATTTTGGTAAATTATCATCACTTTTAATATTATCGATGAATAAAATCAATACGATAAAACCAAATTCTAATGTAGATTTAGTGGTTTTCATCATTTTCACTCTTTTTATCTCTTTAAGTTTTGGCGTAAAAATCTCATTCGAAAAAATGTGTAAAAAATATGTGTGTTCAGACTCTCCCACGACGATCTAAGAGTACTTCACATACCATATCTCAATTTCCTACTGTATAACAATATTCTAGTAAGATAACTTTACAAAAAAAGAAGAAACAAAACACCAAACAAATTTCTCATTGGCAAAAATATCCTTTCCACTTTGATGAATATAGGTTTCGAAGAAGAAAATGTGGCGGAAGAAATGAATTCAAAAATGTTTTACTTTTTTTTTGTGTATGAAATAAAAAAGAACTATGAATTGAAATGAATGAATCTATAACACACAAAAGGATGTGATGAGACTGACGCCATTTGTTGACATTCATTACACGCACACGTATTGAAACAAAAATAAATTGCCTGCAAAAAAATAAGTAGAAGAAACACCATAAAGGGGGAAAACCATGCAATAATGGGAAAAAGTGATAGGAATCTGTACTGGATGAGTGAGCATAAGTATATATGTGTGTTGAGCGTAAGTGTGAGTGTATGTGTGTGTGTGTGAGAGAGAGATGGAGAGTGCCTGTGCGGTTGAAATTGTTTATGCGTTCATGTAGTGAATGTTCAAAGTAGTAAAAATACTAAATTTGAAACGCATACTATAACGCACTACTGCTACTGCTGCACACAATCTAGTACGGTTTTAAACAGGCAAAACAGGAGCACACAGGAATCCTTTCTATCCTTGCCACAATGCTGAGATGTCAGTTAATATAACGGTTTAGCGCAATATTTTGACCACATCAAATATTCAATAAATACAGTCAAATCTTGCTAAAAAACCGTATTTTGAAATGAGATTATAAATCATATCACCGAAACACATTTGCAAAAAAAAATCCGCATTTAGAAAAAAAAAACGTTTACTTTCTCTTTTATCGCTTTTTTCTCTGTCAACAAATCCACTTGATAAAAGTAAAAAAAAACGCATATTTGCTTGTTATTCGCACATTCATGGCTAATTTATTCAAACAAATCTCCATTTTCAATTCTTTTACACATTTGCTTTTTCAAAAATCGATATTTTTCTTGTTAAATTAATACAAATGAAACTTGGTGAAATTTTTAAAATAACAAATGATAATAATTTAAATATTTAAAAGCTTGTTATGGCTTTAGATAATATACTAAAACGCGCACAAGTTTTTTTTTTGTTGTTGTTGTTGTTGATAATGAATGTTAGCAAGATCTAGCCAACCAATGATTTCAATGCATTTGGATCAATTCCTTTATCACCGCCGGGATTTTGAGCGCCAGTTACTCCCATTCCAGCACCACCAGATTCAAATGTTACACAGATGACCCACCTATAATGGAAATAACATATTTCTGATTAAGTAATCCAAGCCAAAAAAAAATAATTATTAAGTCCGACGAAATTAATAATATATTACGCACCACCAAACTCCTGGACGTGGATGCAATTGGAACTCGGTGAACACAGGCACTGAACGTGTTTGAGTTTCCACTGGGAATGTTGGATTGTAAATAATCAAATCTCCATTTGATTGTTGACAACTAGAAAAACAATGAAATTATTTTATTTTTCGAAATTTTGATTAATTTTTATTACTTCTACTGAAAAATCACTAGGTGTTTTATCCAGACAATATATTGAACCAATTGGTCAGTTGAGCTGACAGTACGTTAGCCAGCTAAATGGACAAAAACAATAGAAGTTATTGTTATAATGAACAATCACTTCTATTAAAACAAGAGAAGTGATTCATCATTAAAACAATAACGTATATTGTTTTAGCCCATTTAGCTGGCTAACGTACTGTCAGCTCAACTGACCAGTTAGTTCAATATATTGTCTGGTTTTATCATGTTTACAATTCAAGTCAATATGATGATTTCATCTGCTTTTTTTTTTTAAATTAGAAAGTGACACGATAAAAAAAGAAAGACTCATCCGAATTATAACAACATTTAAAATCAACTTCGTTTCTTTCTCTCTCTCTTTCTTCATATCATGCATGCATCAGTCCAATAAAGTGAGTGATTTAAATCAAAAATAATGTGATTATGAATTGATTTATATGGGTGACAAAAATTGAGAGAATTGAAATTACAACTGAGAGAGTTAAACAGGTAAATTAAATAATACGGATAAGTGTCCCGTAGAGCTAATTTAAATGTCCAAAACATTATTTTCTTTATGTTTTATGCAATTTGTTCATTGTTAATTATTTTATTTGGATTTTCCAGCTTTAATACACTTTACTTCTCAATTGTACATTTCGAATGATTATTTTTTTACATGCAACTCACTGAAAATGAATGCTTCCATTTAAGAAGTTGAAAAAATCCAAATAGTATTTGAAAATACACGATGTGAAATCATTTTTTACTCATCTCAATCACAAAGCATTGACACTGTTTTTTTTTTATCAGTTAATACCAAGTAAACCAATCCATTCACACCGGTCAAAAGGGTGAAGAAGAAATTGAATGGCAATGGTGAGCATGCGATTCAGAATGAAAATTATTCCAACGCTTTTGCTTAATTTCCATCGTGAATTGTATATTTTCCCGGTCAACAATTGACATCAGTAGTATGTCTGACAGCAACACAAATGCACGCAATCACAATTAAACAACTCCGAATGAATGCGATAATCGACTTAATGCGACATATACCTGAAATTATAGTCTCCAATTTGTGCGGATGCAATAAAGCCGAATTTGTATTCTTCAACTTGAACAATTGTCGGTGGTGGAAGTAAGGCTGGAAGGAATTGACCGCCGTCTTGACGCTTCCGACGTACGGCAATTCGTCGATCTTCGTTGACAATGAATTTCTCAAGTGGTTTTAAAATTTCCTCAATATGCCGCTTCATTTGTTGCTTAGAAAGGAATTGTCGAATTGGTGTATTTGACTGATAGTACACTGGCATATCGTAAAAGATGTCATCCGGTTGCATGCGAGCTAATGCCGTTGAATTTGATGGTATCAACGCACTGACTGTTTTCAATGTAAACAATAATGTTGTCAGCAGCAACATAATACTCTTTGAATTGCACCACATTTTTAAAACAAACACACTTGGACTTTGGAAGCACAACACCGAAATAAAAGTAATAAAAACTCCGCTCAGATCAACCACTCGGCTCTGAATTCGGACCACAAATGAACGGTTACGAAGATGAGTCCGTCAAATAGATTTAAATAATCGACGATCAACTTTTTACCGTTTCAATATTTAGTGGTGGTGATATATATCCACAACATACTTAATATGCTTTAAATCAAAAAAGCAACGAATCATAAAAGAGAGTTCAATCCCTTCCGGTTTTTTTTTGTTTTCGTTTAGTTTATGCTATCTCATACAAAATCAACATGATTGTAACGAAATTGGAATCCATGAATCAAGAGAGATTTTAGGCTTGACACATCTATTTTGGAATTTTTTTTATCGATTAAAAATTGATAGATGGACATCTTTTACCATCATTTTTGGAAATCGCACCAATGAAATTAATGATACCAATAGGATCACAGAATTTAATTACATGAGAAACAAAAGTCGCAAATATTGAATTTTGCCGACAGCAGTGGACAAGAGTTAACAATTATCAATAGAACATTTTATTTTCGAGCCCAATGGAACTTTTTTTTAAAATATCTTATTTGCGTGTTTTTGAGTCTTCAATATAATTTAGCAACAACATAAAAGATGTTGTTGCATAGTTAATGTTTGTTAGGTGTAAAAGTTATTGGCTTGTTATTCGCACATTTATGGCTAATTTATTCATACTAATCTACAAAGCTTTCGTTCAGAAATACATTTTTATCTTTCTTTTGCACATTTGACTTTTTGTCAACGTTTATTGTTGTTGCTTTAAAAATGAAAACATACATTTATTGGCATATTTATCAAATTATTTGCAAGATTTAATCAACCAATTCAACAAACGCATTTGGTCCAAATCGCAGTGAAAAAATCATTAGCTTTATAAAGGCCACCCCAGTTTCACTCGAAAACTGTAGAGATTCTTAATCTCTTAAACTAATTGATCCATTTTTTATGCACGATTTACGAATCGGTGGTTAAAAGGTAAAAATTTGGCTCTAGAAAAACTATTATAATAACTCCTGCAAATAGTTTTAAGGAAAATTTTCGTGAATCTGACCAAAATATCCACAATACGAATTGTTTATGATAAAACATTTTACTTTCGTTAGATGAATATGAAATACAAAAGAATATCCAGAACTAGTTTTAAAAATAAATTGTGTGATGACAACGATACAAATCAATTTCGTAACCTTCCCTAGAGAGCTCAATGTCTTCTCACAATATTTTTGCGCATCATGAATGTGAAACAGGTATAAGTAACACGGGTAATAAGTATTTCATTTGATTAAATCAATTGAGTTAATTAATATGTGGTAATACAATTATATGCCGATAATTTAAATATCCGAATCATTTCCAATTCACATCATTTTCTTTATGTTTTATGCAATGCGTTCATTACTTTATTTATGTAATGAACATTATTTGGATACAACGTGATGTGACACAGGTCAATTATTTTACTATCACTTTTTACTTATTTCAATCATAAGCATGCCTTTTACACTCAATACCAAAAAATTCCTTCTAACCAAAACAGTGGAATTGGAATGAGTTGGCCGATCCGATTAGCTTAGGACGAAAATTGTTCTATCGCCTTATTAATTTGAAGTCGACACTGGCATTTCATGGTGGTTTAAAACGTGAATAATAATGCCCAGCAGCGTCATATAATTCTTCGAATTTCAGCACATTTTCAAAGTTACTGGAATTAAGAAGTACATTCCTCGGTAATGATATACACGATGGTCAATCGCATTTTTACCATTTTAACACTTATTAGTGTTGATACCATAATATGACTTAATAGATTCAAAACGAAAAAAGCAGGTGGTCATAAAATGAGTTTCATATTTTCCATTTTGTGTTTTATAATTTTGCATTTTATTGAAATCGATATCATCGCACTACACACTCGGTATTTGTAATCCGGTGTTTTTTTTTATTCTTCTGTGAATAGGCATAGCTTCGGCATTTCGGTTGCATATATTAAAATCGGCCATCAATCAAAATTAAATTAAAATATAAAGTGATGGAGGAAACTGTGTCATATGATAAATCAATATAAAATTACATCTGTCTTGGTTCATGTGCGAATGAAAGTGAAAGAAGTATTGAACGCAAAATCGTCGCATATTTGAATATAAATTATATAAGACGATCATCATTTGATCGGTCAAAATCGTGGCCCATCTAATCCTTTCACTCGCACATAGAAGTTTGATGAAGTCGATGAGCGTTTTAATCGATTTCAAATGTTATGTTCGTCACATATGAATACCGAATATTTTGTCGTTGCTCATCGAAGAAAGTTTCTGCATACCATTGACCTTTAATTGCTCATTTGCAAGCCGAGTATTTTTTTTACGATTTTTTTGTGCGATTTAAAAGTGTTTACAGGCAATATACGCTCGTGTGTATTTATTATAGAGAAAAATGTGAAAATTATTCGAAAAAAGGAGAGAAAAAGTGTTTTTTAATCTCTTCATGGTTGCGTGAGCAAAATTTTTTTTTTATTCTGCCAATTCCATTTGATTTTACGAAATTTCGATCAATTTCAACGCACATTAATCAAAAGAAGAAAGGTAAATATTATACGTGTGTGCTATGCCGTAATGGTTTTGAATGGGCGGCTTTTTTCCCTCTAAAAAAAATTCTACCATGTTGTTGTACATGATCGAATAATTCAAAGCAATGCATATGGCTTTGTAGACGAATGAAAGAGAAATGAAGACAAGAACCTAACCTCACATATTCTTGCTTGTTCTCTATTTTATTGTGTGTATGATTGCAGCTGTCAGTAGTATGTTTTATGTGTATCGAGGCGTTCATTTGTGTGTGTGTGCATGTGCGTGTAAATCTAGTACGTGCTGAAAATTTCTCGCTGCCATTAACTTCATTGGCAGTGACGCGATGCTAACTGTCAAATTTGTCGAACGAGCAGACAAACAAAAATTGTACAGAAGCAGCAGCAGCAGCAGTAGAGCAGCAGATAGCAAAAGTTATATTATTCTTTTTGTTTTATGTTTGGAATTTCACTTAGTGTCTATATCGCATACCGTGCTATTTTGAAATCAGATTTAATGTGGTTTTTTGTGTGAAACATTTGTAAATTTTAAGTATGACTACGACAGATACGACAGCTGGTGCACCACTAGCCATCTCAAATACAGTGAACGACGATTCAGTGAGCAGTGCTTCGAAAACCGGTTCAATAAAAAAGCATTATGTACAACATTTTCCGCCACCACCAGCAACACCAACAACGAACAATCGAACCAATGCCGTTGTGGATGAACGCGATAAAGCTAGCTTTTATAAAGATTTATACCATTTTCATGAAGTCAAAGGGTAAACACAATTTTTCATTTTTTTTGGTTTCGTGTATGTGTGTATCGCTGTGAAATTGAAGCGCGTCCCCCAAACGAACGACAAAAAAGAATTTAATTAATTGTCAGCTCAAAAAATCTAATGAATTCGTGTCATTGTTTTCAATTGCAGAACACCAATTCCACGTCTGCCGTGTGTGAATGGCCACGAAATTGATCTACATAAATTTTATTCATTGGTATGCAGTCGCGGTGGATGGGCCAAGGTGAATATAATACATCCATTAAATGTGAATGTTTATTTGTTCTAATCCAATGTTTATCACCTTTTCTTTTAGATAAATTATCGCAATGAATGGGAGGATTTAGTACCTGAATTCGATCTGCCAAGCAAATGTGTGAATGCATCGGTGGCATTGAAGCAAATTTATATGCGATATTTGGATCGTTATGAAAAAATTCATTTTCTTGGCGAAGATAATGATCGAATCATTGACGAAACGGACGAAGATAATCGCCATAAAAAATGGAATAATAAACATTTCAACGATGTTCCAATGAAATATAATTATTTACAGCATAATGTTGCCGAAAATATGCGTACCACACATAAACTATCGACCGATTTATATAAATCATCGGAATATGAACGATTGTTAATGTCATTAATGTCACCGTTACCAAATGAACAAGATTTCGCTGTAAATGTATGTACATTTTCCATTATTTTGATTATTTGCTGATTATTTTCATTATTTTTATTCTTTTTCTTTTGTGCTTCGCCTGCTAGGTATGCACATTAATGGCCAATGAAAGTCGACACACGCTCAAAGTTGAACGATGTCCAAAACTACTCGATGCACTTATGGGACATGCTGGCGTTTATTCGCATCGTAAGTACAACAGCATCAGTATTGCTGTCACGTGCTGCATTTTGTGATAATATACTGATCTTATGTGTGTATGTGTTTTTTTTTTTTAATTTTCAGATTCGATGCGAGAGTTATTCTTTGAATTTTATTCGAATGTTCGAAAGCATTCGTTGCAATCGTTCTGGAATGATTGTTTGCATGATAAACCGGATATTTTGGAATTAACTTACGAAGATTATTTCGAAGTGGATGAAAATGTATCGGGCAATGTCATATCGGGACGGCCACCAGTTCGATTACGAAACAATGATAATGAAACATTTGAAGACGGCTTAAATACGCGATCGAATGAATTGAAAGAATTTTCATCGATGGACTTTTTGAATTTAAAACGTGGACTTGGTACGCATGATTATATCGGTCAACGTGTGCATCAAGTGTCAACGATTTGCCGAAATTTATCATTCTTCGACGAAAATCTACCGACGATTGTGAAGAATCGAACATTTGTTCGATTTTTGGTGATGTGCTCAAATATTCGTTGGGGTAATTTACATCATCTATTTTTTTTTTTGATTTTTTCACATTCACATTCATACATTAATTCTGATATGTACTATAATATGATGATGATGATGATGTGTGTGTGTATCTAGTAATGAGTGAGAAATCATTAGAATCTAAAAAACTATAGCTTGACCATACAAATGAAATATGTCATTTTCATTATATGTTTCGATTATTTACCAATTATTTCTATTCTTTTGTGATCCTCCCCCAAGGTAATTTACATCAAATGGGCTTAGATACGCTGGGTAACATTGCCATCGAATTGGACCTGTGCGATCCAAACAATGACACATTAACAAAGTGTTTATTAACAACGATTTCCGAAGGGTTGGAAAGTCAGGATCGTGGTGTGATCATAAGTTGCTTGGAAATTTTATATAAATTGTGTCAAAAAGGAACAAATGAAGATCATTTACATAAGTATCTGGATAAGCGTGTGTATCGACAAATTTGCATGTATTTATCGCTGAACGATATTATGTTGTTGTTGTATACGTTGGAATGTTTGTTTGCATTGTCATCGATGGGCGAAAAAGCATGTTTTGCTATCGTTCAAATAAATGGCGTCATCGATACATTAGTGTCACTTGTTTCGGTTGAAGCACAAAGTTATGGACCTGATGGATGCATTTTAATGCGTGTCGTTGAAACAGTGCCCACACCATTGACATCTCAACAACAACAGCAAGGCCATCATTCGCATGGACATTTTCAACAAACAACGCAAATATCATCGCAACCAGTCATGACACAACTTCAATCGGCACCATCAGGTTTGTATTATCATTACATTCAATTGCATTTGGAATGGCATTTTTTCAATAAATTACCACTTTTATTTCCTTTATTATCAGCTGTTCATGTAACCGAACGCAATCAAATCGAAACGAGAATTGAAGTGAAGAATGAACCACCTCGAATAGAGAAACCAATACCTGCACCAATAATACAGCAACATCAATCACATGACATTGCTATTAATCAAAGTGAATATTAACTGATCAATATTTCTCAATGGAAGATTTCCCGAAAACTTTTTTCCCGATTTATTTTTTGAAATATTAAATTATCTAATTTATTGCAGATCAACCAATATTGGTACCACAGCTTCAGCTGCAGCAACAGCAGCAGCAGCAGCAGCAACAACATCATCAAATAACGCAACATCAAACGCAACCATCATTGCCATCTCCACCTCCAATAATTGTACAATCAACAATTCCGACAATGCCAACAGTATCACAGAATCCAATCGTTGTACCGGTGCCAAAATTGCAACAACAAATGCAAGTCCAAATAAAATCCGAAATCAAAATGAACCAAGTATGTGTTCAAAATGCAACTGAACAATTTTATCCCGTATCATGTGCACCGACAATGGTAAAAATCACTTAAAATTGCTTATTAATTATTATTGATTGTTTTACGATTATTTTTCAATTATTTTTCGATTATTTTAAATTAATTCGATTCTTTTCTTTTGTGATTCTCCCCTTAGGTAAAAATCCAAACAAGTGCATCGCCAACAATAACAACTGCCGCACCATCATTTCTCAGCAGTTCAAATGTTGTGTACTCCGAACAACAAACGACAACCATACATACGTCATCCGCACAAAATCCGAATTCATTGAAACTTGCACAAGATCAAGAAAACGAACAATTTGCATTGGCCTGGTTGCGAGCCACATTTGAACCGGCCAGTACAATTGCATCACGTATTGAACAACAAGATTTATATAAAATGTACTTAACAGCATGCTCGAAAATCGGACGAACCGGTGTTGTGTCACAGCATCATTTTCCACGTTGTGTTCAAAATGTGTTTGGCAATACGGTCGGACCAAATCAAATTAAAATTAAACAAAACACAATCACATCATATTTCTACGAAGGAATTCGTATTCGAGCCCAACCATTGGCTGTGGTTCACAAAGGAACCATTTTGGTAAGTAAATATAAATAATGCACCATAAAAAAAGAGAATTAATTATCTCATATTCCGAGTAGCAAGCGGCTGTCACCACAACGACAATAAAAGCGTCCGATAATGCTGTGAATAAAGATCAACCAACGATCATCAAAACACCAATCATTCAGAATCAAAATAAAACCAATACAAATCAAATGGTATGAAAATAACTTAATAATTGAAATGTCAAACATAATTTTAACATCGAAATGCATTGATCTTTGATATTTGAAAACATTTTTTAGCAAATGAACGCATCGTCGGCGCCAATTCTACAACAAGTTTTGAGCACCAATCAAACCGAACACATTCACATGACACAAAATCGTACGCAAATACGACAAACACAAAATTCAATAATTGTATCATCATCACCATCGATCGTTACGTCGTCATCAAGCGGCTGCGGCGCCACCACCCAATCATCATTGATCAAAGCAATTTTAGCCAATAAGGTAACAACTGTTGATGGCACCACCGTTATTGGCACGCCGAACATAACAACGAACTTAGTACCATCGATAAATCCTAGTATTATTACCGCTACTAGCAATATGAATGTGCATCAGGTAACATTTTGATTTTGAACTAACTCCAACTAATTTCTTTATTTATGTGTACATTTTGATAAGTTTTGACATACAAACAAACAGTGTTCAGAGTATAATTCATTGAAATTCGATAAACGATCCATTATTTTGCATAGATGCAATGCTTCAAAGAAACAAACGAAACAAGCAAAAAGAGAAAAGACAGTTAAACAAAAGAAAAAAAAACACACAAAAATGCTGTGTAAATTTCAAAATGTTCACTCAAAATACAATCGATAGTCGAAAGGTAAGAGGTGTAGATGAAACAATGTCGTACGTGAATTCGAGTGAGATTTATGTCTCTTGTCTCGATTGAACGAAAAGGCAGTATATCATTAATTCTTAACTAATTGTGATGCGTGTGTGAATAAATACTAAAATCTCCAGTCAGCAATAAAAAAGAAGACTGGACGCTTCTCAACAATTTATTCCGCTAAATTGTCGCTTCCATATGTAAATTCTGTATCAAAATGCATCCCAAACGTATAATCCAGTTGTTGTGATAAAATCGTAGAAAAATCTAAAAAAATAAAAACAAACAAAAATAACTTCGATATTGACTAAAAACAATCAAAGAGTGACATAAAACTGACTGATCTAACTTAAAATTTGTAGCAATTTGTAAAAATTATTGTTTATTTATTTTAATAAAAATTGTATAGAGCGGTAGTTTTTTTTTTCTCGTGCCAACATTATAAAATAATGAATTGTTAACTAATTGTTAATCAAGCGACATTTGGGTGTATGTAATAATTAGGTAGCGCAACGGCAACATTTGCAAAAGCAAAGAGAAGCTCAATTAGCAGCAGCGGCTCAATCATCGATAAATGTAACAAATATGAACAATAGTTATGTTATAAAAACGCCAACTGGAACGGTAACGCCAAACAAAGTCGCCGGTAATACACTGATACCAGCAACCATAATCGAAAAGAAAGCTGAAGCTATGTTAGAAGCATACAAATCAAATTGGGATCCAGTTCCACCATTGGCACCATTGAGCAGTAATAGCATACGACAAACAAGTATAATCGCCTCAATACCTGTACCAACGGTCAGCCCATCAAAAGTTGATGACGATTCAAATTCGACCAGCCAATCAGCCAACTCTAGTATGTAAGTATAACGTTAGCAACCCGAACATTCTTTTTTATAATTCCTTTGCTCCCAACGTAGATGATTTTTCACACAAAATTAATAATCTTGAAACATTTTGGTTTTATCAAAACAAAACAAAAACAATTCTCCCCAAAAAAAAAAAAAAAAAAAAAAAAAAAAAAA